CTTAAAAAGTCAAGTGGCAGTTCATTTCAAAGACCTCATGTTCAATGCCTAGAAAGCTGAACCTTAATTAATCTCAATATTGTTCCCACTTGATCATACAGAGGCAACTTGTAACAAAAAAGGATAATGTACAAATGGATTAAATTATAAAGTACAAATTCAGGAAAGCAAGTGCAACAGTCAGCACGATGGTACTGAGACCTGTTGTGAAATTTGTAGTTTCATCCACTTTAAAAGATTCTATTTAGTTAAGATAATGTTGAACCAGTCTTCTAAACTTCTGAACATGAACCTAAGACTATATTCAAAGTAACAACATACCATGAGAATCATCATTTTTGAAACAAAATCATTTGAGTTTAGATGACAGCAGACCTTTTCATGTTTCTTTGAATGCTCAGCACCAGGATCATTGTGGCCACTTTTATCTTTCTTTTTCTCTTTGTCCTTGTCTTTACTCCGATCTTTATGACGATGTTTGTGCTTCTTATGCTCTTTGTCCTTCTCCTTGTCTTTATCCTTGTGTTTTTTATGCTTCTTCTCCTTCTTCTCCTTGTCTTTCATCTCGCTCTTAGATTTTCCAGCTATAGTGGGGGTGCCTTTGTCAGACTATCAAACACCATGAAAAGACCGACTGATCAGTAACTATTATAACAGGAAAAACCATTTTATGTTTCAGCACATAATATGAGGAAACCCAATTCAAAAGCTCCAACTTCAGAAATCATAAAGGATAAGAGTGTTGCTTAGAAGCAGGTGAACAAATGGAGTTAAATCATCCAAATTCAAAAGCAGATATCTTACAGGAGACAAATTGACTGGAGCCGTTTCACGTAGTTGGAAGGCTTCTCTAAGGACATCTAAGTCAAACGGCCGGATACATGAACTTGTCTCTCTTGAAAAGGAAGTATCCTGTGTGAGCTGATCCAACTGCATCTTCTCACCTTTCCTAATTTCTGTGTCTCCAACCACATTATGAAGATAATGTGTATCGGAAATTGATAATGGAAGCGACCTCTTACCAAAGAACTCATAATGAGGCAACAATTTGAAGTGACTAATAAGATCACGAGCACCTGTGAGTTCTCTTGGCCCTAACAATATATTTGGACCAAATCAACAACAGTTATAAACTATGTATATCTTTATCAAACATGAACACATTCTAAAGAGGAGAACAAAATTGACAGTTATTTAGTCTATAACAAAATATCAAGTTATTGATCTAAGGAATTTTACAAACCAAACTATATTTGTGAAGGAATATGCAATACAAAAAATGGTAAAAGCCACAGATGCAATCTGCAGTCAGTTGGTGATAAAATGGTAAGCCTGCCACAACACCTCTATATTCATTTGCCACTACGAATTCCTCTGCTATGCAAATTATGTTCATTTAACACCTTAAGAAACTTAACTAATGCCGAGTGTTTCTCTTCTTCTTTATTTTTTGGTTTTCAGAAGCTTAGCTCTTCCACATTCCGCGGGTCTCTCAGTAACCTATGGCTTAAAATCTTAAAAACTTGGAAGTGATTTCTTTCTAGATTGAACTCTATTCTCTCTCTCCTTTTTCTTTTTGCTCTATCAGTTCACTTCATATTAAATTAAATATGATGGTGCATCCATTTTCCAAAAAGATTTACTTATAGCTTGACCACCCTTCATAAAATTTCTGGTCATGCCATTGGTATCATTGTAAGCAGAAGAAGTCGGCATAAATGGGTTGGCAATAAAACAATAACTTTATTTCCTGCAAGTAAGAGCAAGAGCAATAGGACTATAAAACAAAATTTCAGCAGCAAATAAATTCGCCATCAGCAGTCTGAGCAAGAATATCAATCAATGTGTCACATTCACCTTGAATCTAAGCCTAGGGATGCAATAACGAGCATTACTCATCAATTGCATACTAGTCACATGAGTAGACATGCAGTAGTCAACCACATTTACCAGTTTCAAAAAAAAAAAAGACATGCAGTAGTCAACATGTGTAACAAGCAAGGAGACTGTATGTCCCTATTTTTATTTTTTGAGGGGAAAGGTAAACATGTAAAAGTCTTACCTCTTCCAAAATTCTTGCTATCTGGATCCATCAATCAGCACCAAGTATATAAGTAGAGCATTATTTCCTGGAAAGTATCAGTAGGTAAGACAATCCAGAAATATCTAGTGCAGCAAAGGTCAATCTACTCATATGACTAGAATGCAAACAAAATGGCATTGGAGGAGGACAATTGGGAGAATGTAACCATAATACAACCGTAGTGCAAAATGAAAGATCTCATAAACCTTGTCAGTATCATTTTCAAATAAATACTGCCTTAATGCCATGGATTTGGCAGGGGCTACTACCGCCTATGTTCAAAGCAGAATACCAAGAGTAAAGATAAAGGGTGCTAAAAGCGACACTAACAGAAAGAAAGACAGCTTTTATCTGTACAACTAAGGAGAAAACTTATATATGAGCTGGAAGAGAGATCATTTCATATGCAATTTCTATACCTCTACTCTCAAGTGGATAGGGAGGTCTTATTTGATCAAGCATAGATACAACAAAAAGAAAATTGAAGTAAATAATAAGGAAAAAGAACAAGGACTCAGATTGGTCCTAAGAATAGTGTCTCCCGTGTACAATGGCGTGTATGTTATTTAGAGTGCATAGTGTCCCAAGAAATTGTCTATAATGACGGCCAGTGTTATCTACTGCACTAAGTCCAACCTCTCACTAAATTGTGTATAATCAGTCTAAAGATTAGTTTTTTTCAAACAGTTACTTCACAAATGCAACTCAAACAGTTTTTTCAGCCTAAAGATTGGTTTTTTCCCAACAGTTACTTGACAAATGCAACTCAAACCAGTTTTTTCAGCCTAAAGATTAGTTTTTTACAATAATTTACTTAACGAATGCAACTCAAATTAACACTTTGATCCTTGACAAGACTGAACAATAAAAATGAAAAAGAAAAAAAAAACTTAACTTACTGCTCCAACAGAAAGAGGAGAGAACTACACTTAGCTCAACTTACCTCTTTCTGTTGGAGTACCTCAACTTACAATAGAGAAAAAAAAAACTTATTAAAAGCTGATTCCATTACAATTTGAGTTTCAAATTTTCATAATTTCACACATCCGCATATTAATGAAGAAACACATTGATCTTTGATGATAAAGACTACGTGATCCCTTTCACAATCTAACATCAGTACATAGAGAATTCAAATCTCCAACTACGAAAAAGAGCTTACTCGATCAAACTGAGGGATATCCAATCCAATTGAAGAACGAAGCTCGTTTGTTCTCCAATTGAAGGTTCTCCTGAAGCAAAATAATCGAAATTGAGGGCTTAGGGTTTGCAAATTCACCGTAAGCTTCGTATATTTGAACCAAGAGAAACCCTAATTTTGCAATTTCGCGGAGTTGAAAAAAATATTGGCACCAATTACGGCGTATTATTATTATTATTGCGACATCGTAATATTTATATTTATTTTACTGGCGATGTCGCTACTCTGTTTCCTATTTGTGTCATGTTGACAATAATTGCCCCTGTCTGATCTGGTTTCTGAAGGAGTTTATTGTAATTTCGACTCAAATTATTTTATTTTTTGGTTCAAATAAAATCCACTAATATGTTTTTTTTTAAATCTGTGACTCAAAAAATCCACTAATATACATATTTTTTAAATAATGTGAGAATACTAAAAATATATAATGTGATTTTACATAAGTTAACAAAAAGTATGAAAAATGGCATCGGTTACTGGTAGCAACTAGTATAACTAAATAATGTCATTCAAGGATTGTTACGTAAGCAATCTATTTTAAAAGCCAACAACTACTTCATAACTAGAATTTGAAGTATAAATAAATAAATAGTTGCTTCAGATTATGCAAATTTTGCAAATTGACCATTCTCTAAAAGTATTTTGAATATTTAATTTTATGATTCAAATTTTTAATTATAAATCACATAAAAATTACTTTCTCCTAATTTAGATACGATTTAAATAATCAATTTCCTCTCTCCTCTCTCATATAAATTATAATCATAGAAAAGATCAAATAAGACTTCATTTATAAATTATAATCTAACGAAAATCCATGCGTACTTATCAAAGACAAATGAGATCTTCAATATACGTGTCCGGAAGTAACTCAAACAATTAAGAGTCTGGTTTGATCTGAAATCAGGCACGATCTGCTCGTTTATTGCTACATCTAAAAATAGCATCAAGCGAAGATGTCGTTATGTCCCTTAATCAATCAAATGGTCCTTTGACCTTCATTTGATTCCAAAAATCAGCATAGATCTCATCAAATTGTATACAACCCTTAGTAAAGACTAGACAATTAATTCCAGCAAGTGGCATGTAAGTCACACAAACATAAACTTTATTATTGTATCAAGATTCTCCATTAAAAAGAATGTTGAAAGGACCACGCCCAATAATATTACGCAAGCCTTCTATCTTAAGTATCAACGGTTGATTCTATAATTCAAATTCATAACATAGACTAATAAACTGTTGATCCAATCATGCAAGATTAGTAGATTGGCGACATTTTAAGAGTGTTTAACTCTAAGTCTCTAATACATCAATTACGTAAAATTACTCATCTGAATTCAGATACTATTTAAAATAATCACTTCTTAGTTCCTTCGTTAACTTTTACTCCATTACTTGTCCGTTATTTTAAAAATATTTTTTTACTTTCACTTGTTATTTTCAACGTATCAAGACTATTATTATTTTTTTACATGTTTTATCATTAACATTAATTATTCATTTCCAAATCATTTCTCAAAAACTAATCTAAACATGAATTTATAGGAGTGTGATAAATAGTAATGTCAATCATTATTTTTAATGGGTGTGCCAAATACGAATGGAAAGTAAAAAAGAACGGGTTTATTTTACTATAAACCTGGATTAGTATGCTATAATTATCAGTTTAATTAATTAAACAATAACTTAGAAAGATGCATAGTATGAAAGAATCTAGAATTTAACCGCGAAGTTATCTTCCTCCGTGAACGATCCCAACTCCGCCGTCTTCCGCCGCTGATCTTCGAAGCGGGCAATCTCGGAGACTATATCTTCTCCGTACTAGAAAAAAGGAGAGAACTTGGAAGTTTTTACAGATAATAAAATGTCCAGAGCAATGGCTTCCCTTACAATCAAAGCGATTTTCTGTATGCAATTGCTACCTTTGCTCATCGGAGCTTTTTCCGTTATCCGAATCAACCGTAGTTGGGATATGGAAGAAGGATTGCTACGAAGGCAAACCGGACACCAGAGAGAGTTTGATTACTTCAAGCTATCTCTCTTATGGCCTGGCACGGCTTGCCGGAATACCACCAAATGCTGCTCTTCCAATGCCTGTTGCCGGTACTTCTCTTTTTTCTTCTTTCATACCTCAAATGATGTTTCGTAAAACTTAGTCATTCAGCTGATTGACAGATTGTAAAATTAGACTAATTGTCGATTGATTTCTTCATTTTGCCTCTTTATTCTCAGATTGTAAAATTATATCATGTCTAAGGAATTTTATTAAATTAAGCTAGTTGTGTGTTTTGTAAGGATTTCATGACACTTGAAAGCAGAGGCTTACCTTTTTTTGTCTGTTTTTTTTCAGCTCAAACTCACCATCAATATTCACTATTCGTAAGTTATTCCAATTGGGAAGGATGTTTTTATATTTTGTTTTCATGTTGTGCAATGTGAGAGGTAGAATTGAATAAGGTTTCTCGTGCTTCAGATGGACTTTGGGCTGATTACAATGACGGAACTTGGCCTGCATGTTGTTCTGGCCCCCAATTTGATAGGGAGCAGGTATATTGCTAACCCTTTTCCCCGGACCAACTTTTTATTCCGCGAGGACTGTTTGAGGAGAAAGTTAACTGGTGGAACTGTTGTTGCTTAGATAAAGACCTGTTTGAAGGGAGAATTGATTGGTAGAACTGTTAATGTTTAGTTAAAGACTTGAAGCACGCTCTTTCATGGAAGATGGGCGCGTGCTTTCGTTCCCAAAATACATATATTTTGACGGTAAAGCAGTTTATTGGCTGTGAAGGCTACAAATAATTCATACCCATAATGCACCCATCGGCAAGTGTTGGTGGGATTTAATAGGGTATTATGTGACTGAAGATCTGTTTATATTGTTTGTCAAAACATGTTGACTCCAAATCCAGAAACGCTTGTCACAGAGAATAAGCTTTGAACAAATGAAGAATTTCAAGGCAAATGTGAAATGTTTGGATTTGCAAATGTTGTTATCCATTCGTAAGGAGGTTCCCAAAGCTTATTACTCTGGAAATTAGGATTTGGCAAAGTAACTTGATGCACTACTAGCATCTTACTTGCACTTTTATGACAGATCATTCATTCCTATTTTTGGTTTTAGTTAAAGAGTCTTAAATTGCATATAAGTTTGCCTTTCATGGTGTACAATCTGTTTTGTTTGAACATTCATTTCATTCTACTGGCATTAGTTTAAAGTGCTACTTCTTTTTTTTTCAGTCACCTTTGATCAATCCTGAATTTTGCCTTAACATAGAAGGATGTCTTTTCTGAATTTAATTATCAAAAATTTTAAGTGTATGGCATGCATTATTTGTAACAGTTGATTTGCAATGTATTTTGTATTAACTTGTGATTATTCAGAGATATAAAATATAATTTCAATAGAAGGATATTCTTCATCCAAACAAGTGTCTAACTTTTTGAATTGTATGAATGGGATAACCCTTAAAGTTAATGTGCTCTTGTTCGTGATTTTGGACTTCCCTTTGTTGTTAGATATAAGACAGTGTTGTAAAGGCTTTTTCATATTAAAAAAAAAACAGTGTTGTAAACACATGTTTAAGCCCTGAAGCTGAGTGTATGGTTGGCCTAGGTGCTGCACCCCGCTTAACTGGTGTTCAATGCAGCACCAAACTGCTAAGATACGTTCCTCAAAAGCGATGGGTTCTATTACAAACCAGACATCGTTAAACAATAACTATACAACAACAACATACCCAGTGAAATCCCACTAGGTGGGGTCTGGGGAGGGTAGAGTGTACGCAGACCTTACCACTACCTCGTGGAGGTAGAGAGGCTGTTTCCGGGAGACCCTCAGCTCAAGAACATCAAATCTAAGTGACAGGAGAGCTATATATAAAACATAACAACCAATCCAAAAGATAGTGTATAATCAACAAATGATACAATAACATCGAGAAAGTAATGTGAGGGGTGAAACGCAGTAAACAACAATACGGCTAGGACTACTCCAAACGCTAACAGCCCATACCCTCGCGAGGGACGGCAACACGCTAACCCTACTAACCTTCCACCTTAATACGCGACCTCCACTCCTTCCTATCTAGAGTCATGTCCTCGGTAATGTGAAGCCTAGCCAAGTCTTGTCTAATCACCTCTTCCCAATACTTCTTGGGCCTACCTCTACCCCTCCGCGTACCTTCTACCACTATTTCCTCGCATCTCCTCACTGGGGCGTTTGCGCTCCGTCTCTTCACATGTCCAAACCATCTCAGTCTCGCTTCCCTCAGCTTGTCCACCACAGAGGCCACTCCCACCTTCTCCCGGATAACCTCATTCCTAATCTTGTCGCTCCTAGTGTGCCCACACGTCCATCTCAACATCCTCATCTCCGCAACATGCATTTTTTGGACATGTGCGTTCTTGACTGGCCAACACTCCGCTCCATACAACAAGGCCGGTCTAACTACCACTCTGTAGAACTTACCTTTAAGTTTTGGTGGAATTTTCTTATCACACAGTACTCCAGAGGCAAGCCTCCATTTCATCCACGCAACCCCAATGCGATGTGTGACATCATTGTCGATGTCACCACTCCCTTGGATTACAGCCCCAAGATACTTAAAACTTTCCTTCTTAGGAATGATCTGTGCGTCAAGTCTCACTTCCACATATGTCTCATCCAACATATCACTGAATTTGCACCCCAAATATTCTGTTTTGGTCCTACTCAACCTGAAACCTTTGGACTCCAACGTTTGTCTCCACACCTCCAACCGCGCATTAACTCTATCCCGCGTCTCATCAATCAATACTATGTCATCCGCAAATAACATACACCATGGGACCTTCTCCTGAATAGACCGCGTTAGCTCATCCATCACCAAAGCAAAAAGAAAAGGGCTTAGGACTGATCCCTGGTGCAGCCCCATCTCAACTGGGAAGTGTTCTGAGTCTCCTCCAACTGTTCTAACCCGAGTCTTGGCTCCACCGTACATGTCCTTTATCGCCCTAATATAAATCATCGGGACCCCTTTAGACTCCAAGCACCTCCAGAGGACATTCCTCGGTACTTTGTCATAGGCCTTTTCAAGGTCAATGAACACCATATGTAGGTCTCTCTTTCTTTCTCTATATTTTTCTACCAGTCTACGCATAAGATGGATGGCTTCGGTAGTCGAACGTCCCGGCATGAATCCAAACTGGTTCTCCGAGATGGACACCCCTCTTCTCACCCTCATCTCCACCACTCTCTCCCAAATCTTCATAGTATGGCTCAACAATTTGATACCCCTGTAGTTGTTACAATTTTGGATATCACCCTTGTTTTTATACAACGGAACCATTGTACTCCACCTCCATTCATCCGGCATCTTTGTTGTCTTAAGGATAACATTAAACAGCCCAGTTAACCACTTTATGCCTGCCTTGTCCATGCTCTTCCAAAATTCTACAGGAATCTCATCGGGTCCGGTCGCTCTTCCCCTGCTCATCCTACTAATAGCCCGTATAACTTCCTCGGTCCTAATGCACCTACAGTACCCAAAATCCCGAAGTCTTTCAGAGTGCGCCAAATCACCCAATACAATGTCTGCTTCCCCTTTTTCATTTAAAAGTTTGTGAAAGTAGCTTCACCATTTTTGCTTGATGGAGGTCTCTTCCACCAATATTTTGCCTTCCTCATCTTTGATACACTTCACTTGGTCCAAGTCGCGCGCCTTCCTCTCTCTTGCTTTTGCGAGCCTATACAACTTCTTATCCCCGCCTTTGTCCCCCAGCTCGACATACAAGCATTCGAAAGCTGCCGTCTTCGCCTTCGTAACAGCTAACTTAGCTTCTGTCTTTGTCGTCTTATAGACTTTCTTAAGCGTCCGCTTCTCCTCCTCGTCTACACACTCCGCCATTTTTGTGTGTGCAGCCTTCTTCGCTTCCACTTTGCCTTGGACTTCCCCATTCCACCACCAGTCTCCTTTATGGCCTCCAAATTTACCCCTTGACACCCCTAACACCTTAGAAGCAACTTCCCTAATGCAACTAGCTGCTTTATTCCACATGGTGTCCGCATCCCCGTTACCACTCCAAGCCCCCATCCCCATCAACTCCTCACCCATCTCCCGCGAAAGGGCAGGGGTCAACCCTTCCCATTTAATCCTCGGTCGATCAGGTACCATCTTCTTCCTCCTAACCCTCTTAATTTTCAGGTCCACCACCAAAAGCTTGTGTTGGGTAGTGAGGTTTTCACTTGGGATGACCTTGCAGTCCTTAAAGAGACCTCTATCCCCCTTCCTAAGGAGTAAGTAATCTATCTGAGTCTTAGCTACCGTGCTACGAAAGGTAACCAAGTGGTTCTCCTTCTTCGGAAAGCACGAGTTAGCAATCACCAACTCAAAGGCCTTGGCAAAGTCTAGAAGCGAAGTTCCACCTCCATTTCTCTCCCCAAAACCAAAGCCTCCATGGACGTCATCAAAGCCACTAGAAGTTGCCCCGATGTGTCCATTAAAATCTCCACCAATGACAATCTTCTCGGTATTCGGAATACCTCTAACTACCTCATCCAATTCCTCATAAAAGAGCTTTTTGGCCTCCTCGTCCAATCCCACTTGAGGAGCATAAGCACTAATAACACTCCAAGTACATCCTCCAATGACTAGCTTAATCGTCATCAGTCTATCATTGATCCTCCTAACCTCCACCACTTGCTCCCTCAAATCCCCGTCTACTAAAATACCCACTCCATTTCTATCCCTTGACCCTCTTGAGTACCACAACTTAAACCCGTCAACATCCCGAGCCTTGGAGCCTACCCATCTAGTCTCTTGGACACAAGCTATATTTATCTTTCTCTTCTTGAGAATTTTCACTAGCTCTATAACTGTTGGTTGCCGTTATTGTTATTTTTATTGCATTACATAATTACATTTATATTATTTCGGTACCTTTTTCATCTGCACTTTCTTCACTAAAATGGACAGTTTAATAGAGCTTTGTGCTTGACACTAGCGGGCTATGGAGCTTTTATATGCCTTTCTCCTTTCACTATACTGATTTAAGGTCCTTGCCTTGGATTTTTGTTGGGAAATGGTATCACAGTTCTGGCTTAAGTATGCAGATACGGTTAGAATGTTAAGCCTATCAATATCTTTGCTGGCAAGTTGCTTAGTAATATATTTAATATGAGCATCTGGAAGTTCTTTACAGAAGGATCTGTGATAATTTTGAATATTGAGAATTCAGCAGATGAGACTGAATAAAGAAGCTTCTATTTCTTCAACTCTAAGGGACATCCATTTCCTACTGCATATTTATATAAATATTCACCAGCACTGAGTTTGAAACATTTTGTCTTTTGAGCTTACATATCCATTCATTCTGTAGATTTCAACACTGCGTAGGCCTATGAAGAAGTACTGGCCTTCTTTTAGTTGCGAGGCCACCTCAACTTGTCACCATGAAAAAGGATCATTTTGGGCTCATGAGGTGGTTTTTCATTGTTACTTGTACTAATGATTGATAAAGAATTCGATACAATTCAAGGAACTAACATGTCCTTCTTGCATTTCTTTTATGCTGACTCTGGAGATATTCATTTTCAGTGGGGTAATCTCTCTTTGCCTTATTTTATATTCAGTTTATATATATCTTGCAAGATGACTTGATGGCTTTGATCAAGATCTTTGATTGAAATGAGAAGCAAGATTCTTTAAATAGGAAGTACCTTATTGCTGACATCTTCTAACATTATTGCTTCCTTCTTCTCCTGGATATAATTACACACATTTTATAGTCCTTGTGCATTCTCATTTTACATTATTTTTTATTTTTTTTACAAGTCAAAAATAAAAACAATATCATATGAAAGTTTGCGGATAACTAAGCTGAAGTTAAGGCCAGTCTGGAATGTTATTTTCTACTAAATGTGGGATAACTTTATTTGCCCTTTACCCTATCTCTTGTCTGGCAGGAAATACAACAACAACAACAACCCAGTGAAATCCCACTAGGTGGGGTCTGGGGAGGGTAAATAGTACGCAGACCTTGCCACTACCTCGTGGAGGTAGAGAGGCTGTTTCCAAGAGACCCTCAGCTCAAGAGCATCAAATCTAAGTGACAGGAGAGATATATGCAAACATAACAGCCAATACAAAAGATAGCGTATAATCAACAAATGAGACAATAACAAGAAAGATAAGGGAGTGAAACGCAGTAAACAGCATAAGGCTAGGACTGCTCCAAACGCTAACAACCCAAACCCTCGCAAGGGAAGACAACCCGCTAACCCTACTAACCTTCAACCTTAATACGCGACCTCCACTCCTTCCTATCTAGAGTCATGTCCTCGGTGATGTGAAGCATAGCCAAGTCTTGTCTAATCACCTCTTCCCAATACTTCTTGGGCCTACCTCTACCCCTCCGCGTACCCTCTACCACCATTACCTCGCACCTCCTCACTGGGGTGTCTGCACTCCGTCTCTTCACATGTCCAAACCATCTCAGTCTCGCTTCCCTCAGCTTGTCCACCACAGAGGCCACTCCCACCTTCTCCCGGATAACCTCATTCCTAATCTTATCGCTCCTAGTGTGCCCACACATCCATCTCAACATCCTCATCTCCGCAACATGCATTTTATGAACATGTGCGTTCTTAACTGGCCAACACTCCGCTCCATACAACAAGGCCGGTCTAACTACCACTCTGTAGAACTTACCTTTAAGTTTTGGTGGAATTTTCTTATCACACAGTACTCCAGAGGCAAGCCTCCATTTCATCCACGCAACCCCAATGCGATGTGTGACATCATCGTCGATGTCGCCACTCCCTTGGATTACAGCCCCAAGATTCTGGCAGGAAATAGAACCCTTAAAATACTTCAGATGGATAAAACTGTCATTTTACTTTTGAAGCAAGCACCTAACCGTTAATATGGAGGATATAGATAGGAAATAATAGGGGTCCTACCTGTTGAAATGTGAACATTGTCTTGAACTATGTTGCTTGGACTCTTCAAAAATATCGACGGGTGTGTGTCGGATCCTCCAAAAATAGTGTATTTTTTAAGGATCCGACACAGGTGTGGCAACATTTTTGGAGAGTCCGAGCAACTTAGGTCTTGAAAGAGAGGAGTTTTTTATTTGTGTGATACATAAATTTTGTTAGTTCATGTACTTAGGATATTAATGTTAGGACATATGTATGGTTGAATACATGTATTTGAGAAAAATGGGAATGAATTGAATAAATGATGGTACATGTACTGAACTAGGTACATTTGACCAAAAAAATAATAGGTACATGCTAGGATAGTCCTACAAAAATATTCAGATATTATAGCTATTTTTTTTTTTTTTGATGACAAGGGAAACCCACGGCCACTACCCTTTTGGGTGCGCACAGGGTAAAACCCCGCTCCTATGCAATAGCTCGCAAACCACATAGGAGAGGTAACCCGCACTAGGCTAGCCCGGTGCGACGAGCTCGACCCAGAAGGCAAACCCCTTGCTTTCGCTGGCAAGGGGTTTTGAACTTGAGACCTCCAACATGGAAGTCCCAAGCCCAAACCACTGGGCCACCCCAAAGGGTTTATAGCTATTTTTTATAAGCCAAAATGAAGTCAAGTTGGTAAAAGTCCACTTGTCTTCAAAGAGCATTATATATTGAGAAAGCAAGTAGAATGAATTAAAGGAGAACCATTTCCTCTACTTGTCTTCAAGAGTAAATGAGTCACTGAGAGTGCTCCTCCTCCCCTATTTTCCAACATTACCAACCTACCAACTGCAACCTAAAATTCAAAGTTTTGTGTTTGTTACACTTGTAAATATCTGATAGAGACAAAAGTCAGACTAGTAGATGTTTATTTTGTATGTAGTGTGACTTTCATAATTTTCTGTCATTGTTCGCAGAAAAACACGGAACATGTTCTTATCCAGTTGTCCATGATGAGTATGAGTACTTCCTGATGACTTTGAATGTTTACTTCAAATATAACGTCACTGTAAGTTGATTGTTATTCTATTTATTTACTCCAATAAACTTTGCCTTGTGTATTTTCTATCAGATTTAAACTTTGAGTTGGTACTTATTTGCATCCCAAAACCCCACCTAGTGGGATTTCACTGGGTATGTTGTTGTTGGTACTTATTTGCATATATTCAGTACTGGGGCAAAGAAATTGTTTGATGTGTCAGATACAACAGCAGCTTAATAGCTCATCTTGAATATCTTGGTTATTATTTTATGTCAAAACTTAAAATCACGTATGTTATCGATATCTTTCCTAAGAAAATTCCCCTTGGTCAATGTAAACTTTTAAATGGATGATCGTCGACAATATCAGATATACAAGATTGTGGTTACATTTACAACAGCCTTCTGGAATTTATTTCATTGCAATAACTTACTACTCATTAGAGTATCCTTTGTCAAGATGCAAAATATACCAAGAGGGTTAGCAGTTGGACTTTATTATACTGAAAAAGTGAACACTTCCTCTCATCTGTGCTGAATTTTTTCTTAATTAACTGCATCATAACTTTCTGGATATGTCAAGCATTGAATCACTTAACATTCTTTTAGCATTCCATGTTAAGATGTTTTTTTTATTTTTGAAATGTCACTACAGCTTCATTTCATTTGGTTGAAAACTTATCTGTTGTTCCTCTTACTCATATAATTACATAATGTGGTTGCCTGGTAGTTGAGTCCACTACTGATGTACTCAAAAATTGAAATTAACCAGGGAGTTCTGTTTGAAGCCGGGTATGTACCCTCAAATTCTGAGAAATATCCATTGGGAGGCATCATTTCAGCCATTCAAAATGCCTTTCATGCAACTCCAGAGTTGATATGCTCAGGCGATGCGGTGGAGGAACTAAGAATATGCTTCTATAAGGATTTACAGGTTGGTTCTCTCTAATCCTCTAAATGAATAATTGCAAGAGTTGCTTATTGCAAAATTATTTGTTTATATAAGGTGATGTGGATGGCCTCATTTAAGATGTTTGTCGTTGTTTAGGCTACGAGATCAATTATTATGTCTTTCAATAGTGCACTCCTTGTTTGTTGTTAACTTCCTTTCTTTGTACAAATCTATCATGTAGATATCATGAGTGTGCAATTTAAAGATGGGTGATTCTGTACTTACTTTCCAAGTTCATTCATCTTAATTCTTACATTACATGTTAGCAAATAAAGCGGACATGTTAATTCTAAATCTCTGCTTAGTTAATCTTATGTCTAATATTCTTTTGCTTAATTTGATATCAAAACGTGTCTAGTTATATATTGTCAGATTATCATCCCCAAAACTTCCATTTTGTAGATGACCTCGTTTAAGGTGTCTGACATTGTGTAGTGTAGGACATAAATTAGTATGTCCTTCAATGTTGCACTGCGTGTCTGGTGTTAACTTCTTTCCTTGTCCAAATTTAACCAGTAGATATCACGAGTATAGAATCTAGAGGTGGATGATTCACTCCTTCATTCTGAATTCATGCGTCTTACATGTTAGCAGATAAGACAAACTTCTTAGTTCTAAATATCTGCTTGGATAATCTTATATATAATTGTATATTGCTTAAGTTACTAAAAAAACATGTCTTATTGTAAATTGTCAGATTTTCATCCCCAAATTTCCCTTTTTATGGCCTCATTTAAGATGTCTGCCATTGTTAGTTCATGACAAGAATTAATGTATACTCCAATAGTGCAACCAGTATTTGCAGTTAACTTCTTTCCTTGTCCAGATCTAACTATTAAATGTGATGAGTCTACAATATAGAGGTGGACTATTCAATTCTTCCATTCCGATTTCTTTTATCTTAACGCTAGCAGATAGAAGGACTCCTTAATTCTTTTTTTTTACTCTCTGCTTGGTTAATTTTATGTCTGACTGCCTATTGCTTAATTTAATACCAAAACATGTCTGATTGTATATTGTCAGACTACCACCCCCAAAGCTCCAATTTCTATCATTAATGTGAATATGGTTCTCAATTCCTGTCTCTTTTACAGCCTCGTGATTGTGCAAGTGGATCTATCATTAAAAGTGGTAGAGTCTCTTCTGGGTCATGTCCTCAGTATGTCAGCTTGCCAGTAAATGGATCAGGGGGTAAGTTCACTTCCACACAATCTGGGTGGCCATCTTTATCTAATAAGATTAGTTCAACTGGATGAATTAAAGATCGATCAGTTTGCGATCCGATCAACTAATATGACATTTTTGGATGTCAAATGTCATCATGTTCTGTTGATTCGCACAATGCTCTATTTTGTAAGATGATTAGCCCACCAGTATGTAGTTCTGTAGCCTTGTACACACAAACGAGCACGAAATGACTATTTTTGTGGTCACAGTAACTCCTTGATCAAAACCGAAGCATCTAAAAATTGTCTATGCCTGATTAGCCTAGCCTACAAATGGTCTAAGCATCATTGCTTTTCTAAATCTCCTTATTTTGTATAAATATTTCACTTCGTTATGAGTTTACATGTTGACCTATCAAACAAATACAAACAAAACTATGAATTTGACCTACTACTTGTCATATCCAAGAAAATGTATTGGAATATATTATTTTTATCTGTTAACATAGTAAAGAGGAGAATATGTGTGTATTTTCTTGTTTCATCCCTTGTTTTCCTAATCTCCTCTTGAACACTCCCTTCCATTGGCTCTTTTTCATGAGATTTTTCATCTTTTTAAGAAGCTTACTCTTGGTTCTCTGAAGGTAGCAAACAAGTGGCTGGGTTCGGTCTCAAGCTTTGCTTTGCAGTTCACTTACTATTGATTTTTGCATTTATCTGAGAAGGTAGCTGGACTCCCAACTCAAAGTTAAACCCCACGAGTTATCTGTCGACCCAAGAAAGTGTATAATTATCAAGATCAGATTAGGAGTATGAAAGGACATATTTGCTCAAAAAAAGGGGCATAAATTTTTCCTTTTGGATTCAGCACTTGAAAGTTTCTTGAACTTTTATCTTTTGGTTTCACAGGGCTTGACAACACAACGGCAGATTTTTTATCTGAGCGATAGTCTTACAGCAGTTCCCCATGGTCTAAGTCAATTTGATCAGGTAAATTTGACAAGGGTTATAAGATCAGATCCTTATTGCTTTGTGAAGATGTTTAGCGTTCAGCTTGGTATTTATAAGCTATACATTCTTCTTGTAAAGATTATGAGATGATGTTGGTGTAAGTTACTGGTCTTATCGAAATAGCATCTCAACGAGGATTTTATTTAATTTGTGGCTTTATTGTATGTTTCCTTTCTATGAAACTTAAGTGTTCTACCTGCAAAATGCAAACCAACTAAATGATTGTTGTAATGCTGTTCATTATTGGGAAAAGAGGGACCTTTTATCAATATGTTATCAGAAAGAATTGAATCTGGTCGAAAACCCCCCAAAAGGGTAGAAATTATATAAAATTAGATGGAACTCCAGAAAAGCATGGTAAACAGTCTCCATGTCAAGCATCAAAAGACATCTCTTCATTCAGCCAAACAGTTGCTTCATCCATGTTTAAGATTCCCAAGAATCAGGAGACTGAAATCTCTCAGATAAATCATGTAGTTGAAAGCCCAAGACTACGGTCCAACCATTGTCCTTTTGAAGCAATTCTTTTGCGCCAAGAAATCTGGAGGACAATTTTCTCAATCATTTCATTTCCTCTTTGCCAGCACAAGTGCATTTTGTCAAACAGTACTGTTGTCACTAAATATACTCAGTGTTCTCCACGGAGTGTGCATATCATTTGGTAGACTCGAGATATTCAAATGAAGTCCAGGGATCAGCCAACACATACAACTCAATATCCCCAAGCTTTTCCTTGGGTCAATGTGAAGCAAAGGTTCTTTCCCTTGCATACCTCCATCACAACAACCAGAGATAGGTTCCAACTGAATTGGTCTAAAAAGAAGAAACTCTGCATTCGGGAAATGGATGTTGATGTTCATCTTCTGTAGCCTCACAGCTGAGCAAAAATTCATTATCTAGTATATGTGACACTCGCTTCATTTCAGATATCAATGTGTCAAGGTTTTCATATATCTCGTTGCATCTTGGATGGGCTTTATCACCAACAAGAAACATGTGTAGCACAGACTTTATCTCAATCCAGCTACAACCTGGCTCCTTCTTGAGCCCACCATACCTCATCACTTTCCTCATTTCAGCAACTTCTTTCCACATTCCTGCATCAGCATAAATATTTGACAAAAGTATATGAGAAGACGAGTCCTCAGGATCCAATTCCAAGAGACACTTTGCTGCCTTTTCTGCTACCTCCACATTCCTGTGCATCTTACACATACTAAGCAGAGTTCTCCAAATCACATCATCAGCCTCAAGAGGCATGTCTTGAATAAGCTTCAGTGCATCACTAATTTGCCCCGCCCTCCCTAATATGTCAACCATACATGAGTAATGTTCTAATTGAGGATCTAATCCATAGTTATTCGACATTGAATTGAAGTGTTGCAGTCCTATTTCAACAAGCCCTATATGTGCACAAGCTCTTAAGACTGCAAGAAAAGTTGCATGATTTGGTCTTACATCCTCGAGCTGCATGTTTTCAAAGATCTGCAAAGCCTCTTCTCCAAGACCATGTTGTGCATAGCCACAAACCAGAGCATTCCATGTGACAAAATCCTTTTTTGGTGCTTTTTCAAACATCAACCTAGAATCCTGCATGTTTCCACATTTCGAGTACATGTCAACAAGAGTGCTAGTTATAAACACATCTGATTGCAATTCTTGCTTTATAATTTGAGCATGAATTTGCTTTCCGAGCCCAACAGTAGCTAGATTGGCACAGGTATCAAGAACTGTTGCAAAGGTAAAGTTATCAGGTTTTATTCCCTCTTCCAGCATTCTAGAGAAGAATTTCTGAGCTTCCTCACTTTGTTCACGCAATGAGAAGCCCGATATGATTGCATTCCAAGATACGATTGTCTGTTCGTTCATTCTCTCATGGAGTTTCTCTGCCTCTTCTACCTTTTCACATTTACAGTACATATCTATTATAGCACTCCCAATGAAGCACTCCATCCCCATCCCTGATTTTATGATCCTATTGTGGATCACCATGCCAGTGTTAAAATCTTGACGAGCTGCACAGGCCTTTAAAACGCTACCATAAGTGAATTCATCTGGTTCCATCCTTGACTTAAGCATCCGAAAAAATAGTATCAAAGTTTCATCCTCATGTCCATTCTGCTCGTAAGCTGCAATTATTGCATTCCAAGACACTGCATCTCTTATTTCCATTTCGTCAAACAAACGTAGAGCTTCTTGTGGTGCTTCACATTTGCCATACATGTCCATAATGGCATTTGCGACACAAACATTGGACAAAAAGGGGGTCTTACAAGCTACACCATGTAGTTGCATTCCCTCTAAATGCCCTTTGAATACTGCACATGCGCTAAATGCACCAGATAGGCTTATTTCATCAAACCCAAGATAAGACTTCAGCAAAAGCCGGAATAGTATTACAGCTTCATATCCTTGATCACCTCGAGCAAACCCAACAATCAAGGCATTATAGGATTGCAAATTATGGTTTGGCAACAAGTTGAATACCTTCTTAGCATCAGACAAACTGTTACATTTGGCATACATGTCCAAAGTGGCCGTAGCTACAATGACATCAGATCCAAAATCAGTTTTCAATGAATGACCGTGCAATTGAGAACCGAATTTTAAGTCTGATAACCCGGCACAAGACCTGAAGACACTAGCATAAGTAGATTGACTCACTCCTACTCCTCCTTTTTGCATATTCTTGAAGAGGTGTAATCCATCAGCAAACTTGCTATTTTGAACGCAACCTGCTATCAGAGCACTCCAAGAAACCCAGTTCTTTTCAGGCATCTCATTGAAGAAACATATTGACTCATTCAATCTCTTGCATTTCGAATACATATCCACCATTGCACTCCCTGTCACCACATCAGTAGCAAGACCTAATTTGACGACCAACCCATGCACCTGCACCCCTAACCAAGAATCTTCAATACCCGAACAAGCTTTCAAAATAACAGCAAAAGTTGTTCTGTCAAAAGCAATACCATCTCTTCCCATTTCCAGAAAAGTTTGAATAGATTTCCCATAATTACCATTTTGCATATACCCGGAAATCAAAGAATTCCATGAAATTGCATCTCTTTCAGGCATCAAATCAAACATTAATTGTGCCTTCTCCAATTCACTTACCATGGAATACCCAAAAATCATAGCATTCCAAGAAACCGTATCTCTTAGAGGCATTTTATCAAACACTTTATCAGCATAACCCAAGTTGGAGCATTTTATGTACATTTGAATCAAACAATTAGCGACGAAAACAGTGGGTTGAAACCCAGAAATTATCATCCGAGCATGGGCTTGCCTGCCTGGTTCCTGGATGCAGTGTTTTGCACATTCTTGGTATAAATGGGAAAAAGTTTTCCTGTAGTTGTTTGGGTGCATTTGGTTTGCTGCTGCAAGTGTTGTAAATCGTCCAGGGTAATGTTCCATCCATTTATATCCAAGAGTTGATGAAACAGCACGAAATTGAGTCGTTAAATGTTGGTGAAGGAGGAGACAAGCCATCAACTTTTAAAATCATGCTTTGGCGGGTGTTCCAGCTTCATACGACAAGGATTATAGGTTAAAATCATTGCCTAATCACCAAAAGTCCAATTTTACAACAAAAGTTGGTGTCGCCATTGATATTTTTCTCTATACTTGTTATTTGGACGGTAGATAAACTAATACACTTTATCCAAACGTTATATGCATTAGTAAAATTGTCATCAAACAAATCTGTTAGTCGCCACACAAAGTATTTAATTAAATGATTTATTAGGGATCTGGGGTTGGGTTATATGGGTGAGTTTGTAAAGTGGATTGAAAATTTAAAATTGGAGATGGGGTTATTAACTAAATTCACCGCGTGTTCGTATAAATTTAAACAATTACTGATAGTAAAGAGATATATCTGACGATTTTCCATAGTTAATATTTGGCATTTGGAAATGGAATCCCATACAAGACTCATCGACAAGTTTGTGAACACAAAATGAGTTTTAATTAGTGACCGTAGTATCCACCAGAAGAAAGCTAAAATATAACATATTCAAGGACAAATAAGAGACGTATTCTCTAAGCAAAACAACAGATAAATTGAGATTAAATTAGGCAAAATACCAAGAAGAACTAGGAGAAAACAGCACACAACTAACTAGACAATGAGACAACATTCAACACAAATAATTTGTGAAGAAAATGCCTGGATTAATCCAACAACTCATTGCCAAGGCAATAATAAGTAGGCAAGATTACCTTGCAAGCGACATAATATTCATCCACATGCCAGATTTATAAGGCTGAGTGAGTATAAAAATTTAGAACATTCTCAAATTGGTAAATTATCATTCTACAGAGCATGCAAAACTGAGAACTCAATAAGGAAGCAAAAACAGAGTATAACAAGAACATAAGCAACAATAATATTTCAAGACTCTTGCAATGCCGTTTACTCGTCATCCTCATCATCGTCATCATTTCCAGCAGCTGAATTCAAAGCATTCAGTCTCTCAATCAACTTAGCTTTCCTTTCCTCGTATGTTAGCTTCTTCAGATTATACCTGCAAAAGAATCAAAAAATGAATATGCGGAATAGACAGGAAAAGAGAATTTTTTTTTCCTATAACCTTGAATAGTTATAGGGTTACAGTAAAACAGACAATATTAGCATACTAATTGCTACAGACAGAAGACATGCTATACTATAGTTTGTCCCACATGGCATTCTAGAAATGAAGAACCAAGATGAGCATCAACTGCATATTTCATATTCAATGACAAATGGGAAATGAAAATCCACCACCCAACCCATTAAGTAAAATGCTTGATAACTTCAAATACATCCCAATGCAAGGAATTGTTTTTAAATAAAAACGAGAAACAAATAAAAATGAGAACCGAGATAATCAATCTAAAGACAAGTTTATACCTCTTGTGCTGTTTAGGAGGCTGCTTCTCAGATTTCTTTGGGCTTGGATCAGCACGAATGGCAGCATGAACCTTCTTGTACATCTCCTCAAGGCCATCAGCTTCAAGACCCTTTTTGATGTACTCACTAAAGTGTGTCTGATATTTCTCTGGTTCATCTTCAATCAGAGTCTGCAAAAAGAAGGAAGAGGTTTAGCATAATAGACATTGGGGTGTACCTAGATGAAGAAATAACATAGATAATACTCAATTATGCATTTCTATGAATTTGATGATGATAGTAAACTATAAAAGGATTCCATATAACCATTCTATTTACCTTCATATATGTAGCAACGTGGCCACCATATATGTACTTGCGGTGAACTTCAGCATCAAGTTGCTTGGAATCCTTGCTGAATCCAGCGAACCTCTTCTCACTGTGAGGAATATCAAGTCCACCATCCAACGCACCCTGAATCCAACCAAGCAAAGAATTGCATTTGATTTTAAAACATATTGAAGGTCATATGGCACAAATTATCCATTGTAAATATGAACAGTAACATGGCACGAAAGAAACCATCTCAGATCTCAAAAGATAAAAGAAAGGGTTTTGGACAGCAGAGCAGACTCCTGTTAACTTAGAAAAGTCCACATTCTAAAAATCAGAAAGCACACCAGACATTAATACCCTTGGACAATTGCATTCCGGGTCTCGTAACGCCTACCTTTAATTGCTTGATCTCATAGGAGAGATAAGGCATTTCGCATACCAAAAGATTATTAAAGATACTTTGACATGCTATGTATCATCTGCTCAAGTGTCGAAAATATTTATTTCTTAGAACTCTATGCACAATCAAGCATTGACATAAAAAATGAGATGCAGCACCAATACCAAAAGCAGGTTTATACCTTGAGAGCACCAAAAACACGATTTCCTGTAGTAGTCCTCAAAAGGCCAACATCCAAGAGAGCACGGAAAGGCCTTCTGCTTTCAGCAGGTTCAACGGAGTAATCCTCCCCATTGACCTGTAAAGATTTGAAAAATCAGCAGGCAAATAGAAGCTACAGCTACCAAACAGGACAAAACACCCATAAAATTGAGCACATCTGCAATTACCTCAAGGTTTCCTTCATACTCCTCATCCATTTCAAGCTTTTTGAGAACTCTCCGTGCCAAAAGAAGTCCAGTGCAGTAGGCTAAATTTGAATGTAAATGAGTTAACAGTTCAATAAGAACTACAGAACTTCAAGTGAGATAACCAAACAATTAGAATAGCTTGTGTGAAAGTACCAGCAGCATAATTAGTCAGTCCAACTTTGAGGCCATAACGAGGCAGCTCGTTAGCATAAGCAGAAGCAAGAATCATGTCACCAGCAATACTAGCAGACACAACTTGTGCAATTATGTCCTTGTTAGTCTAGAAAAAATGTTAAGGAAGCAAAGTGAAGGACCAGTGCAGCTATTGTGCCCATAATTTCAATATTACAGATTGACCAGACCCACAACATAGATTCATGGTGATCCCAATTGCCACTATCAATCATGTGACACAAGTTCACTATGACAATTTCATGAACCGTCTATGTAATATTAAAAGGAACGATACATGTCAAATCAATAAACAAAATCCCAAGAGGAAACCATACCATGTACATAATATTTTACAGTAAAACAAAAGTATTAGGATACAAATCGGACAACCAAACGATATTTTGGAGTGTTGTACTTATTTTTGTCCTGATTGATCAAACGATTCCTGGCTCTATAGTCTGTTTTCCCCTCTGCAAGATAATAAAAATTTGAAAACAATCAGATAGTGAATTGCCTAGGTTGAGAACAAAAAAAAGGAATTATAAGAATACAAGCTATACCTCTCCTTCTCTTGAATTTGACCTGGAAACGCTTAAAATAAGCCCTTGTCTTCTGGACTTTGATGAAGGCCTGCAACATAATTTATTCACAGTGTCAAGCAGAAGAACATGCATCATAAAGATTAGTTGTGCTGGTACATTCACATTAGGGACAGTTTTTCCTAAAAAACTTTTAGTTTGTGTACAATTTATTTGTTGGTAGAAAATGCAGAAATCTTCCCGTATATTAGAAACACTATATGGTTTTGTAAGGCAAAAAACTATATGAAGCATGAGTCAAGATAGAACGGAAAAGTATGATAATTCTTTCCTAAATCTCAACAAGTTTTGGATCAAGGTACATTTGATATTTTTATTAACCTGTCTACTTTTTCTAGGTAATATAGTTGAATAATAGTAAAGCATCCCTATGCAACAACCAAAAAAATTATTTCTATGTTGTCAAATTAACCTAGCATATAAAAGAAAGTAGAGATTTTTGCACAATATCTAAAGACTATACCAAAATAGTTACACATATAGTCCAATCCTAACAGATTAGACAGGATTCCAAGAGATTTGTGCACAACTGTAGACATATTTCATACGAGCAAAATCTGGTAAATCTCTAAATATTCGTACCGAATATTGATAAACCGGAGCCCAAAGAGGAAGGAACAGATTCTTTTTAGAACTGATGGAGCAGAAATGAAAACTCAATGTATGTAGTTATAAACAGTAAACACCACAAACAGAGACTTATAATCCTCCAAAAAAATCAAACACTGTGACACGATTACTCTTAGAACCAGGAAAAAGCTTCAGCATAAACGTTGAGAAAGTTGTATAACCAAAATGTAGCACTCTCTACTCTTTCTATTCCAACTATCAACTACTAAACAACAACAACAAAGCTTCGGAAAGTGTAAAACGAAACCACAAAATGCAGCACGGGATCTGTAAAGAAGCTCAAATTAGTGAATCTCACCATTGTTTCTCCTCGATTAGCCTCCGCCGACGGCCGTGAGGGGGAAGTGGGGAGTAGAAGAAACTAATGTGAGAAAAGGGACTGCCGCTGCGGAGCTTGGTTTTATACTTCACTAAAACCCTAGTCGATGGCCAATACTTTTCTTTTGACGTTTTTGCCCATTTGACATTTTGACTATGTTTTCGTGGAAAATTTTAGAGTACTTTGGTCATAAAAATTACTCTAATTCACTTTTTTCGGATTAATTTCTCACTTTTACTATAAAAAAAAAACTAATAAACTTTTGGATAATAGAGTTATAAGATGATAATAATTGTTTTCAAATAAAAAAAATATAAAGAGGATTAAAATTGTGTTTAGAAATGAATAGAAATTAAAGTTGTTTTAATTTTTTGTAAGTAATTTAAAAAGAGACGCAAAGAATAGTTGCATTAGTAATTGTAATGGTTCATCAAAATTGACCATTCTTTAAAATTGCATATACTTCCAAAAAAAAGTGGGAAAAAAATTAAGGTCAAAACGCCTATAAAATGTGTTGTAGGTTGTATCATGTGAATTATAGTATGTGTAGGATAATTTTTTTTCCTTTTCCGTGAATAATGTATTTCATAGATGTTAAATATAAAAAATTAGACCCCATCCATTTAATAGTTTGTTTTTTGTTATTATTATTTTTCTCTAATAAAGCTTGATGTCATAAATTTATACAATAATTTGCTACATGAAAATTGTGGCCTCTTGTCGTTTGGACACATTTTGTAGCATTTATCAAGTTATATGTAGTTAGTATGATAATATGGTATAAGAAACTTGGCTATAGACAAGTACGAGGATATTTTTGGTTGAGTTGCTAGTTAATTATGTTTATGTTACGTGTAAGTGTGATTGTGTTGGTGCACCACCATTTGGTATTTCAAAATGGAGATTATTTTTTCTGTTAATGTATTCTTAATTGAGCTCGTCCAATTAGACTTCTCTTGTACAATTTATATTTTTTCTAAAATTTGTAAATTATCGAACAAAAGTTAATAAGTTAATTTTATAGTGTCACAGCAAAGAAAACTGATTAATATGTTACTTTTAATTTGATCAGTCCTTATACACCATCAAATATTCATTATTGTGATTCTCATTCAAAAATCAAAATGCCTAAGTAAGAAGGAAGATACATAAGTAATCTTTACATCAAGATAGTACTTAATGATTCCATTTTTATTTAATATTGGTACTTTGAGACATCATGTTAGTCAATCAATGAACCAAGTCTCAAATCTAAGTTAATTAGAATATATAAATTAATTAGAGGCGTTAAAGGAATAAATTGAATCAAATTTAATTGTGGTAAAAATAGATTAATTCAATTAACATGCTATGACTTTTACTTTTTTTGTGTTTGCTCGAATCAAATAACGAATCATCATTTAATTTGATCCAACTTTGCTCCTTCAAATTAACATAACTAGTATACGTACCCGCGCGTTGCGCGGATAATATTAAAGAAAGTAATTATGTTATACATCATGTGTTCAAATTTTTTAATGTAAATTAGTATATCAATGAGTGAAACCTATTAATGTATGAGTTATTATTGCATATTTATGAGATGATTTGCAAAGCAAGTTTTTCCGTACTTCTTGACACATCTTAAACACTTGTAATTTATGAAAAAAGATCAAATATGATACAAATTTATCATAAAATTCTCAAGTTGCAAAGAATATACATCAACTATAAAATCTAAAATTCATATTATAAAAATATTACATAAAAAAATTTAAGCATGATAGGAATTTAATTAAAAACATAGCATTTAAAAAATATTAAATTAAAAAAATTATATAATGAAAATAATAATAAAATATTTGTTGATCATTTTCTCAGTATCACTCCACTTAAATAACCTTAGTCATACATTTTCTTTTTAAACAAAATTAAAACTAATAAATACGCTCAATCGATTTAGTAATTTGAAATAATAAGGAGGCACTTGACTACTCAAAATCCTCAACTGAACTAACATTATCTCTTTTATTTTTATTTTATATTTTAATTTAATTTTTTTTAATTCAATCATAATTTATTTTTTGTGTGTAGTAAGTGATAGTTAAATTGTAGTGTTAAAACTTATTATAAGACTACTAATTATAATTAATTATTAGTAGGTTGAGGAAATACTCAAATTGAAAGTCAAAGAGTCTATTGATTTAGTTGCCTATAATTATTTCCTCTTAATATAATATACGCTATAAAAAGGGTGGCATGAACGTGTTTGCTATAGAGGAAGAGCAAAATGGAGCAAATATTTAGGATTAGTCTGACAATATGATTTCAATTAAAATTTTGGTTATATTGTGCATGTTTGATGGTATTTTGAATTATTATAAATCAGTTTTTTATGTTATTTTTTTGTTTTAGATTTTTTTATGAAAAACATTTGATGAATAATTACTTTATATAGGAAAAAATAGATTGAAATTTAGCTTTATCTAGTATAGAGTTAGTTTACGATTCAAATTTTAAAAAATAAATGGTAACTTCCCATTCAAATTCAAAATTCAAAAAAATAATTATATTTAGTAAAATTTATCTTTATCAGTAAGGTAATTTTAATAAACTTTATGTTTCAAATTTATTTTTTTATATTTTTATATTTAGAGAATAAAATTAAAATATTTGATGGAAGGAAAAAATAAATTGAAATTTGGCTTTATCTAATATAGAGTTAGTTTTCGATTCAAATTTTTAAAAATCAATGGTAACTTCCCATTCAAATTAAAAATTAAAACAATTAATTATATATAATATAATTTATCTTTATCTGTAAACTAATTTAAAAATACTTTATCTTTCAATTTTTTTTTATATATTTTTATATGTAGAGAATAAAATAAAAATTTTGATGGAAAATTAGTTTATATAGGAAAATATAGATTAAAATTTGGCTTTATCTAGTATAGAGTTAGTTTTCGATTCAAATTTTAAAAGATCAATGGTAACTTCCCATTCAAATTCAAAATTTTAAAATTAATTATAATTAGTAACATTTATCTTTATTTGTAAAATAATTTTAATAAACTTTATCTTTCATTCTTTTTTTATATTTTTATAGTTGCAATATAAAACTATACCAAAAAATAAGTATAAAAATTGGTTGACCTCCAAATTTGAATTTTTATCTTTGAATTTAAATAAATACTATATAAAGAACATAAAATTTGCCAAAAAATAATAATTTTATTTATTATTGAAAATAATAAATAAATTCTTATTAATTATTAATATAACTATGAAAACATCCCCCAAAAAAGAAGAAATAACACACTCTATAACCTCTCCTATTATATATATATATGAATTATTATTATTATTATTATTATTATTATTATTATTATTATTGTTATTATTATTATTATTATTATTATTTAACAATGTATAAAGAATGATAATTAGCTGAGAAAAGTTAGCTTAAATATTTTATATAAAAAATGATAATTACCCACAAAATAGAGTCCGTACATATGTAAAATGTATATAACTTAAATATCTAGTTGAGGAAATCTGCAAGATGGACAAATAAAATTTTATACCTTTATAATAAAATCTCGTTGCACAACCCACATATCTTAAATTTCATTTGAAATCAATAAAAACAATTATTAATATTGATTGTTTATAAATAAAAAATTGTGAATATTAAATTATAACTAATTATTAATTAATCTAATTATGTATTACTACTTCGATGAATGGCAAATGTTTCCATTATTTACAGTTTTCCGTTCTTTCCCTTTTAATGATTAATAATTAATAATATTATGCTTTTCCTTTTTACTTTTTACTGTAAAAAATAAAAGTATACTTATTATAATAACTAATTAAGATTTTAAAAATAATAACTTTTACGCATTATTAAAAATATTTGTATGAAAATGAAACAGTATTTTTTTTAATTATATATAAAAGAGTGAGAAACAAAGAAAATGAGTACCTATACATTTACAAAATTTGATTTTTTTTTTCTATATTAATAAAATATTATAAATCTGTCAAGTATACTTATTATAATAACTAATTAAGATTTTAAAAATAATAACTTTTACGCATTATTAAAAATATTTGTATGAAAATGAAACAGTATTTTTTTTATTATATATAAAAGAGTGAGAAACAAAGAAAATGAGTACCTATACATTTACAAAATTTGATTTTTTTTTCTATATTAATAAAATATTATAAATCTGTCAAGAAAATGAGTACCTTTACACATACGAAAGTATATTCAAATGTCTGACTTTCATCTTAACTTCGCCAAAAGTATATAAAATTTGGCCTCTCCAACCTCAAATTTTCTTCCTCAATAATTTTCTACTTTATTGTAATTTGAATATGATTGATATTTCTTTATTCTAAGAAGTCCAACTATATGTTATTAGATTTTATTGCAACTCATCAATTATAAACACTATCAAAGATTCAAAACAACACATAAATTAGAATCAAACTCTCTAAATTTAAACAAAGTACAATTCAAGTTATGAAATATGAATCAGTTTGTTATTCTTCCTTACTTATGAATTTGTTATCTGCATTTATTTTCTCTCTTTTTTTCTGTTTATCTTCTTTTCTTTCCTTCTTTCTTTAATTCTCTTTTATTTGTTTGTTAAATTGAAAAGAACAAATTTTTTTAACAAATGTTAGTAAAGATTTATATAAATAAATAAATTGCATGACAATGTAGATCAACTTTCAATTTATAATTCAAACTTTCAATTCATATTAAAAATAAAATGAATAAAATTAGAATGAAGAAAATGAATTCAAGTTTGGTGACAATAAGAAAAAAATATTAATCTGTAATACGATCATCACTCATCTGCATATAAATTTCTCCTTCTTCAACTACATATATTCAACACCAAAATTGCTTGATCCCATCTTCATTAAACGATCCTCTTTCTTTGATTTTTTTTTTTTCAACTGATCATCTTTAAGATCTAGAGCTTTCCAAATAAAGTGCAGTTATTGTTAATGTAGCAACATAAAACAAAAGAAAAATAGAGGAACTATGCAAACACTTACCTTTCCATGAATGAATGATAAGGATTATCATTGCTTTGACTCTCCTTTATTGAGATACATTTATTTTTT